AAGACGGAAATCTTCATACTCACCGCCCTAATGATGGAGGCAGTATGACCTCTGAAACGTTGGTTAATATCGACCAGTCTACACAGCGCAACAACCCAGAAGACAGAAATCTTCATACTCACCGCTGTGAAAACCTCAAATCATACAAACAGTAAATCTTCTATGCGGTTTCCTCCCTCGACATTTTTTGTCGAAATTTTGTATTGCTCGTCTCGTCCATGTGTACGACGCGTTCAGCTCATTTCAAAATCTTAATATTAAGTAAAGATCGCGTATGAAATCTTCATTACGTAAATTTCCTATGCATCAATAACTTCTGCCTTCTCAGGTCCAAATTTTCTGAACACTTTGTTCCCAAACATCCTCAATGCCTGTTATCCCCCGAGGGTATAAAACCAAACTCCATCCCCACATTAAACAACAATTTCAATTGCTTTTATCTTTTATACAATACGAAAATAAAAACAGAAAATACATTTTGGACTGAATTTCAGAAAAGACTATAACAACCTCCTCCCAAAAACGGGCTGGACACTCATAAGAAAAACACTGGCACACGGTGAAGTTATGCTCATGAGACATGACCCTTCACGAAGTGACCATCAGGGGCCGGCGAGGGACTAAATAACAAACTGGAGGCCGCAATATGGCGTCTGTAGCTGCAGCCCCACATGAGACACGGCACCTCCCCCGAGGTACCACTCGTGTTTCAACTGCATTTCCACGTGACTTGTTCACCGTCACAAACGGGTACACTATTTGTAAGTTGGCTGTCACAAATTGTAAGTACAACATCCACTACTGGTACGAAAGGTATTAAAACATACAAATTTCATTCCTTCGAAGCCTTAACAAGCTTAATAAGCCAGGAATGAGCGCCTTTTAAACCTTGTTTTCCTTTTATACCCTCGTTATTTTAGCAACTAAATAACGAATGGCTTAACAAGGCTTCTTGGCTAAATCCTTTCCTGACTGGTATATTTCACGCAAACTTTTTCTCTACCTCCAACTGCTTTGCGCTACTAATTAGTAACTTCAAGGCATAATAAACTCTCTCCTGATGGGCTTTAAGGCCAAAAAAAATCTGCTTTTAAAAATCAGTGGAAGAGAGAATTTTTCTGACCATCTTCCCCCGGTAGTAATTGTGTGTGCACACGCAGAACTTACCAATATTTGGGTGTTGAAGTTTCCGACATATGCGAGCCTCCCGCTCCAGTTTCTGGAAGTCTGAAACAAAAACACGGATCAAATTAAGAAGTGCAAAACGTGCTTTTGCCAATACGAAGCCATTTCATTATATAACCCCTTCACTTCGATTAACATCCACAAACTTCCTTACAACCCGTGAGAATCCCAAATCTCACACAGTGATATCCCGTTCAACACTGCCCCACAAAACGCTGCTTAGGAAGAAAATGTTTCAGACAAAGCAATCAATTATTGATGCCTTCTTGAAGAAAATGGCTGACAATTCCACGGAAATAACCATAAATCAATACGAATATGGATGTGCTGATATTAAGTACCGATGTGTATTAGATTTATTATTATTATTTATTTAGTGTTCTGTCTGACGACAGGTCCATATGAACAGGATCCTTCCATCCTTTTCTCGGACTGGGACCTGTTCATATACGTTCTTGGCAGATGATCCAGAAGTGGTTTGCCATTGCCTTCTTCTGTGTGTGAATGGGATGCCACGGAGAAACCGGGGAAGCCCCCGGAGGAAAACTCCGTGTTGCCTTGCCCAACACAAGTTATAAATTCGGGCACCGCCGGGAATCGAACCCGAGACCCCAGGATTACAAGGCCAGCGTTCTAACCACTAGACCACCGTAGATTATCAAATGAGAAAGACTGCTCCTACACGTTCCAAACTAATAAAAGAGCAGAATTCCACTATAAGAAAAATAAAACCCAAATAACAACCCAGAAGACGGTAATCTTTGGTACAGTTTCATTCAGAAATAGGCATGGAGGAAAAAATGTAAAAGAGAAATAAAGAGGAACACAGCGCGTGCATGGGAAGACACTCAGCTTATAACCTCCGTGGTAAATTATATTTTTATACCAGCCAAGAGAGCACAAGTTGTTTCATCTTCAAGAAGATGATGTTTCTCAGCCACCCCGTGGTCTCCAAGCAAACGAATTATTGATGAGGCCATTGCACAGATGACTGGATCGGCCACAGAGGCAGCCTCCACATCTGCATAGCAGAGAAGAAGAAAAAAAATGTCGAACGCCGGTCGTATACCTTACCGCCAGCTATCAAACTGACTGAAATGTCGTACGCCATCATTCCCATGTTAATCTCGATGACAGTGTATTTTAGTTTGAGCTGGAGTCCCACAGATGACATTTTTGGTAATAATAAATAAATTGGGACAAACACAAAAAAAACCTACAGCAATGCAGCATAAGAACAAAAGAATCAAATCTTAGGCACAACTTGCGGACCCCCAGGGTTCCGCGAACCGCCGTTTAAAAAAAACGTTCTAATGGACACAATAATTTGGTAGGCTTGGTCCCAGCCCTCATTCCACTCACCCCACATTCACACATCACTGCCGTTTGACCCATTTAGTTTCACTTTGATGTATGGTACGGCCCGGAGCGTTCAATGCGTAGAAAATACGGGCAGTGCCTGCATGGGGAACCGATGACGAGGGCAGTGTCCCCGTTTCCGAAGCAAATAGGACCGCACTTTGCAGTCCGAGTGCGACGACGCATTCCATATCCTGCGGTTCGAGACCGAACTATGTCAACACAATCATTTCCTACAGGACTCTTTTTGCAGATTTATTTAATTACGGTAATGAACTTTCGGGATCCACAAAAGACAGGAATTTTTGACCAGTTGAACCAAAACTAGCTTCAAGATAAGAACTCTACTCCGGGGAAATTAAATATATTTACCGCCAATGTCCTCTCGGCTGTAACGCCATCTAGATCTATAGATAAATACCAACGATTAGAAAGACAAGCGTTGATGAGAGGATAATCTCAAAACTTATCAAAAGGAAACTAGGGGGGGAAGGTATGGATTAAATTCATCTGGTTCAGGATAAAGGCCGATGGAGGACTCTTCTGTACAAGGTAATGAACCTTCAAAAGGCGAAGAACAACTTGCCTATCTGAGCGACTACACAGCTCCCCAGAAGGATTCTGTTCCATGGAGTTAGTTTGTCAGTTAGTGGTTTTCGTTGCAAAACGTCATCTGACGGGATATTTATTTTAGTGAAAGTCTACTCTAGCACGTCCCTTTGAAGCTGAACGATTAGTCTGAATTGGCAATGACTAGCAAATTCATTCGGCGTCACTAGAAAGCAGCTCTATTTATACAAGTGCCAACAGCAGACAGCCCCAACCCTTGCGCAAATAGTACACACACAGAGATCGACTAACGTGGTCTCAGAATCTACCCCGCCCCTGCATAATTATCCAACATACACGACATGTAGGACTACGTCGTGTTTGTCGTCGTAATGATACGGTGCTTCGAAATGCCAAAGTACCAAGTACCGAAGTTCGAGGGTTGGCAGATAAAAGTAACGAGCCTTAAGATCTATACTTCAAGTGTAAATTTACGGTTAGAGAGTAAAGTTATGTTACTTTATGGTGCAATCTAATGCTCGAGCGAGAGAAGGCAAGAAAGAAGTGAAGAAGAAGAAGAAAATGAGCGCCGATATACAGCAGCTAGCGGAAGGAGAGGAAGTGAGGTTGTAGTTAGGAAACTAATCGTTAATTGCAAATTAAGATTTACAGACACAATATCATGTAGGATTTGTATTGTTCTACCACTAGACTCGTTACTGACAAGTCTCGATGTGCACAATTTTACCTTTAATTTAATTAGTGATGGCGACAAACAGTAACCAATGTTTTCATTTTCGCTAAAGTAACAGTTACCAAATTGTATGCTTCAAGGCCACAGAAGGACTTAACACCACCCTCCTCCTCCTAATCGACGCGGCCATGTCACCAGTACAACGTTGCTAGCCTTGCGACGCTGCTAGTTCTGGGCTGTCTTCACTCACCTGGGATCCACCGTCCCTGTTGCAACCTCTCAAAGCATGACATGTGTTGAACACAGCAATCAAAAAAAAATATATACAGACTCCATGATACCGAAGTACGTAACGCCATTCAGCCATATTTCCAGCGAATCTGAAACTCAGCGACCGCCACGAAAAAATGCGACTGTGTTGTAAGTTATGGAGGCACGGGCTAATTAAGCGTTTGTGCTTCAAATACAATTACTCTGACATTGGCGACATATAATAAAAGGGCTTTTAATGTAAAGTAGATGCGTCAAATGTAAATAACGGTTCAATGAAATTATCATTTCTCTTTCATCTTACGTTCTTTGAAGGAACAAAGCTTTGTTCAATTACATTCACAGTTGCTACGGAATGTGTTTCGCTTTGGAAACAGAGTACGGGATGAAACATGGACATATTCTCTTTGCACCGTCAACTGGAGTCGCTTTGGGGGTTATATTTCCATATTCTTTTCTGTGTAACAACAATCACTGATTGTATTCCTTTACATTGCTAGCTGCTTATTCATTGGAGTATCGCAGGAGGGTATAAGAGAAGACTTAATTATTATATATTGTTTAAATCTTGTCCGTCTAATCACAATAAATTCTTATTAAATATTAAAATATCACATTAATTAATTATTTTAAATGTTAATTAATGTAATATTTTAATATTTAATAAGAATTTATTGTGATTAGACGGACAAGATTTAAACAATATATATTTATTACATCACAATATGACGCAACTTTACCATCTCATGACTTAATTATTGTTACTTTTTCGTGTTCTCTGCATAGTGTGCATAAACTGAAAGCATAATGGGGAAGACGTGTCTGTACGCATGTATCATCTCCGAAATTATATGACAGTGTTCTAATAGTTGGTACTGGAGATCTTGGTGAGGGTAGCCAGACATTTTCTTACAAAACTTGACCCAAGAACAGACTCAAACCTGTAAGGAAGAATGTTATCATTATATATTCTGCTTTAGAAAGGGTGCGTGTCGTACTACACACAGGACTCTGCCTTTACTTGTACGTCTCGGTCACATGAATCACTGGCAACTGCTATGTAACACTCTTACTTTCACTTTAGCTGCGTGACGTCACACAAAATACAAATTAAACGTCGAGACGGTAGTCGCATGCAAAATACTGTGTTAATGAAATCAAGTAATTCCTATGCCATATTTTTAATCGTCGAATAACAAAAAAAAAGACCAGCAGTAAATTATCTTAACCTGTTTCTGGTAACCAGGAGGCAGGAATGTTTTCCTTATCCACAACGACAAATGAAACAAAGCCTCTCTAAATTGCGACCAAAAATTAAATGATTACGTATAAGGAAATCTCAATCAAGGAACACAGGAGCGGTTGTCCTATAATAATCGTTCACATCTCGACTGGAATTTATCGATACAACCCCCCCCCCCAACCCAAACTGGTTCGAAAATATTAACGACTTCTCTCATTGGACAAGTATGGCCAAAACAATCTAATCTTCAATTCGTAAAATATGCGGTCTATTTATAACCAACAGGTCAATCGATTGTAAATACAATATTTGAAAGAACTACTGCATCGCTAGCATGTGGCATCTCACGGACATTTGCCAACTATTGACTCTATTTGACCCCGATTTAAGGACATTAATATGAAGTTAACTTCGCCTCGAATTTGAATGTCTTTTGTCTTTATTTTGCTTGGGCTCTGTGTTATGTACTTGTGTATAACACAAGAATGACTGAATGGTTTATTTAACAGCGCTTTATCGTATGTATTAAAATAAATACCGTCATTGATAAACTTAAAAATGATGTGGAAAGAAGACCTCTTGGTATACTTTAAATTATATCCTAGCACTGCCCGAAGAAACAAAGGAAAACCACGAAATATTCAAACACGATAGGTGGTCGGAGGATTGAGCAGGGCTGTCCTTAAAGCGGGGAGAGAGGCCCTTAAATAAACATAGAACTTGGCGCCAGTAACACTGTCTGAAATAATAAAAATGAAAATTTTAATCAGCGTTCTCGTATTTTTTCGGAATTTCTTTCCAGGGCCAAAAAAATTTGCGCATAAATAAAAAGAAATTGCACCCAGGACGGGATTGGAACAGGGTGCCTGCCAAATATGTCAGCCACGTTACAGGTTCAGCAAAGTACGAGTAAAACTTCGTGATAAA